GGAAAAATAACTATTTACTCACAGAATAATTGAATAATTATGTACAATATAAGTTGATAAAGTCTCCCTATTTCTACTCACTATGTGAAAGTCCTATGTAAGTTAATGTAAAGCATAAACTACAGAATACTTTAAAGAAATTACTCCTCCTTTTATCCCTTATTTTGCAAACTGCTAAGGAAATCTCGCAGGTTGATGTTAATCCTATTGAAAAGACCCTTTTTTTTTTAAAAATTAAGACTTCCTAGTTTATGCTTTTCTGTAAATCCACATTTTCACTTGCAGCTAATAATGTATGAGACACACATTTTGAAATACATGTATTGGTCACCAGAGTGGGCTGGGAAGCCAGACCACCTAGGTTCAAATCACAGCTCAATGACCTCTTTTTGACCCTGGCAAGTTCTACACTCTTTCCATGCCTTTGTTCTTTCACAGAAAATTAAATGAGCACATAACAGGAGGTGCTTAACACAGTATTTTCTATCACCAGAATCATTATTATTTTTACTTTTCATAAGGACCAGACACTGTATCACTAACACTGGTTAACGTCAGTAGTAGGAGAGGAAACAGCTAGAGTAGGGAAAACCAAGTATGACTTGGCAGAAATCTTATCTCAGTAACACGGGTAAGAATCAGCACGGACCTAATTTTTACTTTTCTATAAATACAGTGATATGATTTATATGTCAAACTATATTTTAAAGTATATACAATTTATATTCTAAGCAACTTTTCCTCACGAGAGTTCCACTAGAAAAATTAAGCCCTACAAAAATTACATGAATAACTATATTGTCCACTCCACCAAAAACGGTACAGAGCTAGTCCATGCAGATGCAAGGGAGAGAAGTTAACTCACCACACACAGTGGATGTCTTGGGACGTTAGGGTTTAATTTTCTTATGGGATAGACTGAGAGGGGCTACTCTCAAGCAAAGCTTTTCTAATTTTTTTTTTGCCATTAGTTTACATGTCTTCAAAATAAGTACAAAAA